ATCAGCTGGGGGAAATACTACCATATCCAAAAAAATGGAGCTGAAATCCCCTCCCTGAGCCTGAGCCCCCAAATGGGCAGGTCAGGCTCAGGGAAACACAACCACATCCCCAAAAACAGAGCTGGAACCCGCTCCCTGACCCCACACTCGCCCAGGCTCAGGGAAACACCAGCACATCCAAAAAAAACCGAGCTGGAACCCCTTCCCTGACCCTGCACTCCAGATCAGCAGGGGGAAAAAACATCACATCCCAAAAACCAGAGCTGGAACCCCTCAATCAGCTGGGGAAGTAACACCACACCCCAAAAAATGGAGCTGGAACCCCCTCCCTGACCCTACACCCCTCGATTAGCTGGAGAAAACACCAGCACACCCCAAAAACCMRYGCTCTGTCCCCAGGCTCTGCCCCGCAGAGGGCAGGGACGCCCCATCCCCATCCCAGAGCCACCCGAGCAGGGCTGTCCCCTTGGCTGTGACAATTCCCCAGTGATCTCAGCTGGCACCACCCCATCAYTGTCCCCGTTCTGGGGGTACCTGAGCTGAAGAAGGTGCTGCAGGGGCTGGGGCACCTCCTGGGCAGTGCCTCGGGGCCGTCTCCRGGCAGCCCACTCATGTGCAGGTAGGTGGAGATGCGGCTGGCCTGCACTGCCACCAGGTTGCCACCCACACCTGAGGGACACAAACAGAGTCAGTGACATCCCTGACAACTCCAAAAACTCCTGTCAACAGCCAGCAGCTCTGCCATTCTGCAATAATGCAGAATTGTCTATTTTTWACCCCAATTTTCCTTTTTGTAGGATGTTTAGAAAYCAAGACAAAGCGGTGGCTTTTCCTTTCAGGTCCCCAAGTAAAGCTGAAGCTCGGAGTGCAAGAAATACATAAAACAAAAATGGTGAATAGGCACCAAAACAGACCCAGGAAGGTCAAAACAATAATTTTTCACAGTGAAACTGTCAAAGATGCACTGGCCCAGAATTAACTCCACACTTAGCAAAAAAAAAAATTTAAAAAAGAGCTTTTGTGGCTCATCAGGCAGAAAGGAAGTGAAAACTTGATACTGGAATCAATTGGATTTCCTGACTCCAAAGTGTAAATACAAATTGTTCCAGGTGCCACAAGGCAAATGTTTTGGAAGGCACCCAAAATGAGAATTATTGCACTTAACCCTCCTGAAATCCTGGACAATTCCCCCTGATTGCACCCAAAATGAGAATTATTGCCCTTAACCTGCCTGAAAT